CAGAGTTTGGAGATTGCTGTGAGCTGTGATGCCACAACACTACCTCAGGTGACGTAGTGAGACTCTGTCTCCAAAAAAAAAAAAAAAGATAACAGATACTTAGGAGGAGGGAGGGTTGCTTTGACAATAAAAGAGGAGGGTGTGAATCAGACGACAATGACTGGCTTCTGTTTTGAACCTGTGCTCATTAGTCATCTAAGGGAAGATGCCGGGACGGAGGTGGAGCTATGTGTCTGTAGCTCCAGGGAAGGGTGAAGTCTGAGGCCGCGGTGCCAGGAATCAGAGAACACATGGCATTCGGAACCAATGGAGGGCAGCAGGAGAGTCCTAGGTGGACAGATCCCGCTCTGTAAGGGTTAATTCACATTACAGATGCCTATTTGAGGTTATGTGAACTTCATTTATTTTGGTTAGGGATCCATGGAAGCTTAAGAGGTGTTTCAAGAGGTCTGGGGAACTCTGGAATTTTAATTAAAACTTTGCTTACACGTAGTTCTTTTGTTGGGCAAAGACTAGAGCTTTTAGCAGATTCTTAGGGGTTAAAATCCGTTGTGCTTCAAGAAAATATTTGTGTGTGTCCTATAATAGTCAGGACTTGAACTGAATTAAAGAGAAGATTGGTTCAGGCTTCAAAAAAGCTTGACAGAGGAATTTTGGTCTTGATAGATCATTTTTGGAAAAATAACTCAGGCTCCACTAGTGTTTTAGGGATAGGGGGAAGAGGGGGACAATTGGGTCAATCCATGATTTGGTTAGAAATATTCCATTATTTCTATTCTATTCAAAGTAAATCCTCATGAAGGAATCTTTTATATTAAATCTATGTTTGATCATGTAACAAAAGTAGAGAATTGAAAGAATTATCTATATGGTTTAAAATGATTCTGAATGAGATGTGTATTCCAGAATTCTGCCTTCCCTTTAGAGGGCTCTCCCCACAATTACATAGTACCTCTGGTTCTGTTTCCTATTTGGAACCTGATCTAAGCTACTTATTTGCCCATTATAGCACATAGCCAGGCCTTTCTTCATAATAGCCTTCTCAATATGAGAGAGCTTTCATCAAAGGTTATATTCTCTTTTTTTTTTTTTTTTGAGATGGAGCCTCAAGCTATCCCCCTGGGTAGAGTGCCATGGCATCATGCTCACAGCAACCTCCAACTCCTGGGCTCAAGCGAGTCTCCTGCCTCAGCCTCCCAAGTAGCTGGGACCACAGGCGCCCGCCACAGCGCCTGGCCATTTTTTGGTTGCAGCCATCATTGTTGTTTGGCGGGTCCGGGCTGGGGATTTGAACCCGCCACCTTAGGTGTATGTGGCTGGCGCCTTAGCCGCTTGAGCCACAGGCGCCGAGCCTTTAAAGGTTATATTCTCAATAGAATCTATGTATGGTATAAAAATCACCAACTCTTTTGTGTTCCAAAGGTCACTACCAAGAAAGTGAAAAGATCTATAAGCATATCAAACAGATTTTTAAAAAAGAAATTGAAGGCTTTGCACCCATAGCTCAGCAGTTAGGGTGCCGGCTACATGCCCTGGGGCTGGTGGGTTGGAACCCAGCCTGGCCCTGCTAAACAACAATGATGACAACAACAACAAAAATAAAATTGCCAGGCATTGTGGCAGGTGCCTGTAGTCCCAGCTACTCAGGAGGCTGAGGCAAAAGAATCATTTGAGCCCAAGAGTTTGAGGTTGCTGTGAGCTGTGATGGCACAGCACTCTACAGAGGGTGACAAAGTGAGATCCTGTCTCAATTAAAAAAAAAGAAATTGAAAAGATAACCCATGGAATGGCAGAAAATATTTGCTAATCACATATCTTGATAAGGGGTTCATATCCTGACTATATAAAGAACTCTCATAATGCAACAATAAAAAGACAAATAATTCATCTAAACAAATGGGCAAAGGACTTGATAGACATTTTTCCGATGAAGATACACAAATGAGCAATAAGTACACGAAAAGATGTTCATATTCTAATGCACCATTCGTCATTAGAGACTGACAAATCAAAACCACAATGAGATTCTTCTCCACACCCATAGGATGGCTAGAATTTTCTAATGGAAAATAATAAGTCTATTTTAATAAAAAAAATTTAATAAGAAATTAAATGAGAAACTAATACCCTCATCCATTATTGGTGGGAACATAAAATGGTGGAGCCACTGTGGAAATCAGTTTGGCAGTTCCTCAAAAAGTTAAAGAAAGAGTTACCATATGACCCAGAAATTCCACTCTTAGGTGTATTGCCCACAAGAATAAAAAACATCTGTTCACACAAAAACCTTGGACAGGAATATTAACAGCAGTATGATTTATAATAGACAAAATACAGAAATAGCATCAGTGTCACACTCATTAACTAACAACTGAACAAAATGCCCTGTGTCCACATGATGGAATATTACTCAGCGTTGAAAAGGAAGGAAGTGTTGATACAGCCTACAACATAGACGAACCTCAGAAACATCATGCTAAGTGAAAGGAACTAGACACGAAATGCCACATAGTATATGATTCCATTAATATGAAGTTTCTGGAATAGATAAAACTAAGTAGATTCGTAGTTGCCACCAGCTGGGGAGAGACAGGAATTGGAAGATATGGGATTTCATGTTGGGTTGATGGAGACGTTCTGGAATTAGACAGGGGTGACAACGGCACAACACTCTGAATAAACCAAAAGCCCCTGACTTATATACATTAAAATGATAAAGTGTTATATAAACTTTATCCCAATAAAAAATATAAAATAAGACTCAGCACCTGTAGTATAGTCGTTAAGGCACCAGCCACATGCACCAAGGCTGGTGGGTTCAAACCCAGCCCGGGCCAGCTAAACAACAATGACAACTATAACAAAAAAATAGCTGGGCGTTGTGGTGGGAGCCTGCAGTCCCAGCTACTTGGGAGGCTGAGGCAAGAGAATAGCTTAAACCTAAGAGTTGGAGGTTGTGCTGTGAGCTGTGACATCACAGCACTCCACCAAGGGCAACATAGTGAGACTCCGTCTAAATAAATAATAAAAAATTACCAGTTGATTTTAGGTCTGCCCAAGAAGTAAGACAATCATAGAATCCACAACCTTTTTAGAAAAGTATTTCCCCTTGTCTTTGCGAAAGTCAAATACATTCACGTAAGAATGAGAATTCTGAATAAGTTTGAGATCAACAGTATTCCAAGCCAGTTAAAACCTCAGGCACAGCAAAGATCTTACTTAGTCAATAATTGAAGGAGTGCAGGACATATTAGCATGCATTCGCTTTGTGAAGATAGTTCTAAAACTTGGGAGAATTAAGACGACGTGGCATTCTAGAAGCTGCTTCCGGTTGATAAGGGTGTGCTCAAATTGAAAACTAAACTGGTGGCAGAGAACAAGATGGGCTGAGAATCCAAACTTCCAACTTCTTCTACCTGCCTCTGTTTCTTCTGGGAATGAGGCTAAGCTTTGGTCATGGAGGGAATTTAGAATTTTCTTGAATTTGACTTTTCTTTGGACTGAAATTATCTACATTTCTATCTAGAATACTGAATATACTAGACCTCCACTGTGTATGACCTTTCTGTTTGCAGGCTGATTTTATTCTTACTTGTCTTCATAGACAGCAGAAGAGTCTACATGAAAAAAGAGTAGGGTTTCTACTTTTTTAAGGGAGGCTAGTCATTGTGTTAAATATTGTTTTTTATTGTTGGGGACTCATTGAGGGTGCAAGAAACCAGATTACACGGATTGCATTTGTTAGGTAAAGACCCTCTTAGAGTCATTTTTTAATGTCCTGATGACAGCAAGGTTTGATAACCATGATGGGGTTTAAGAAAAAAGGTTTTTTTTCCCCAAAGTAACTGGCCTTGTCTATGTCCCTCTCCTTAATATCTCTTCAGTGATTCTGCTTTGAACATCTGTCAGACCACAGAAGCTCTCTAAGGGTAGACAAGATAGCTACACGATGAGTGGCGTCTAGTACAAGGGGCAATATTCCCCTCCTTGTTCAGAAATGATGAGGAATTTCAAGAAGGCAACAGCACAAACCTAGAGGCTGCCGCAGCAGACCACACATCGCACCCTGGTGTGGTGCAAGGAGTTGAACAAACAAATCCTCCCGCCCCCGGCTTCACCGTCTTACTGTGATTGGGAGCAACTTCCTTAACCTCCCTCAAACACCAGGCTAATAACCCTCATCTCTTGAGGTGCGGCGAGGATTTTTTCAAGTCTTAAGCTTGAATATTATTATTTAACATGTTCTTGCTTTTTCTATGGTGAAGGAGCTGCCAGGCCCTTAGCCGGGGTGTGAATGGCAGGAAAGCCATTTGGTGAATTAAATGTGGGTCCTTCAAAGCTCGAGGAAGGGGGCCGAGAGGGGCTGTTCTTGCTCTCGTCTCCAGCCCGATACCCTTCGCCTCGGTCTGTTTTTATTAGCTCGTATCCTCAGTCTATCCTCAGCAAGGGTGATGAAACCGGGGGCAGATTTAACTGCCAGGCAGCTGGGTCACAGTCCCCTGGGTCTTGTTGTCATGCTGCGATCTTAAAGTGACCACGGCTGCTGGGGCTGCTGCCTTCCAGAAGGCTCAGAGACAGAGCACTGAATAGTTAATCGGTGGAAAAGGGAAGACGGAGGCTGTTGCTTGCAGAAAACACAGAGAAGCTGCTTTGAAAAATCCCAAGGTGGCTGAATATCAAGAACACGGATCCTGCCGTGGGCAGCTGTGTGTGCAGCAGGCAGCCCGGGGGCTTAGAATCAAATCTCCAGCATGGCTTGGTGCCTCCCCCCGCGGGCCTTTGGGGAAGGCGGCACAAAGCCTAAACATTACAAAATGAAGAAACCCTCAATGCGAGTGGATAAGGGTTATCATTTATAGTTATCGTTCGTATTATTAGCGGTTTCAGTGAATCATGGCTTTTAAGAAAATGTTTTTTTTAAAAAAAAGAAAGAAAAGAGTGAGAAGGAGAGTAAAACCAGGATGACTTGTCTAACAGAAAAGATCTGCAGGCCCCCTTACCTGAAACCGTCTCATGTCTCTTGGGTTTCCTGCTGTTTTCAAGCAATTCTGATTGCACTTGAGGAAAAATTTTAAGAAGAATCTGTGAAGAGAAAGCAATGTGTTACATTTTTCAGTAAACATATTCTAGGGGAGAATAGAAGCTGCATTCTATTAGATGTGATTGGAAAGCGATTGTATTTCAGATCTGGGGAATTTCAACCTGCTCTGCCCGGCCTGGAACGTTGCTGACCCTGTGCAATTTGCAAATTTGGATGTTTTCAATCGCAAGCCCAGCGCCCCCTTCCCCATCACTGTGGGGGATTGTTAAGTGGTTCACAAGCTGGGCTAGCTGGGCTCTGGTTTGTACACCGGCGCCCAGAGTTTCTAGAGCGATCGGTCTGCAAAAATGGCTTCAAATATACAGCAGTGACCCTTTGCTGTAGGGAAGGTCTTGCTCCAGGGTTAAAAATGGCAGGATTTGGCCCAGAATCCCAGGCTCCTCATATTGGAAGCTCTTGGGTGTCCACTCACACCTGCATACTCACACATGAAGGAGGCATGACATTTTCAACCAGGGTTTACAAAATCAGAAAATGGTATGTTACCATCCGAAGACTGTTCAGCTATGCAGGTCTGTGCGAGGGGCTAGGAGGGAATGGTTACGATTAATAACAAGATGAATGTCATTTCAGATCATTGATAGATTATCCAGAAAAATTCAAAATCACAGAATCATGATCTCAGGTTATTATTCTAAGACATATTTTCCAAAGCCAATATTCTCCTAAATGATCAGTCCATGTAATTTTTAAATTGGGCATCTTGAATCAGATGACATAATCAAGAAAAATGGCACGAGTTGGCCTTTCCAGCCATTCACCTAGTGAAGGTTTAAAGTTTTGTTTCTAAATACAATAAGTTTTTCATTTATTTCACTTGCAGAGTCCTCTCCTTAAAAAAAAAAAAAAAAAAATTCCGGCTTTTGCAGTGTTGAAGTCCCAGGTGAGCTAGGCCTATTTCCCTTTCCGTTACTATGACAACGAAATTTTACCGCAGTCCCAAAGTCCCTTCAGAACTCTCACATCCATGCCTTGAATTAGAACTTTAAAGGAAAAGATATACATTTTTTTCCCCAGGATTTACCAACAAAAATAAGTAGAAATCAACAATACTTCCAAAAAATCTATTTTCAAGCCACAGTTGGTGAAAGGATCGCCTTATAACCTTCTGCTTATTTGCATTTTTTTAAAACAATCACACAAAAGAATTAGAGAGCACGCCAATTAATTGTATTTATCACTTTAAAAAAAAACCCTGATGAGAAGATAAATAGTAAAGGAGGGCAGAGGGGAATCGACTCTTCAGAGTATCTGCTGTATTTGAGGCTGTTTTACTCCCCGCTTGCTAAAAATATTTGGCAACACGCTCCCGACCCAATCTATGAATAAGGTTGGGTGGGAATTTGGAAGTAACAGCTAAATATTTTTTTCATGATATTATAACATCTGCTTTTGGATTCTCCCTTTGCACGGGATACCAAGTCTAACCTCCCACCGTTTATAGGATAGATGGGGGGTTAGGCTTTCTATCCTGTGCCCCCCGCCCTATCCTGTGGTCAGGGTCAGGAGTGCCCACGGAAGGGCCAGGCAGAGAAAATGTCTGTCCTGCATTGCTGCCCAGCCACCGCGGTGCTCAAATCCACAACCTGCTGCTGCTTTCTGAGACACAGGGATATGTCTGCCCACAGTCATCGGAGCAAGTTAGAAAGGAAAATAGCTTCTATTTCAGTAAAGATTGATCAGAATTCAAACATTTTCTTGCTTCCAGGGGAAACATCCCCCCCCTCTGACATTCATGTCAGAGTCAGCTCTAGTCACTTACAAAGCCTGCAGAGGCTCTCGGGGACCCTGGAAACTCGCCTCGCCTTTTTCCTCACTGGAGTCTCTCCCCAAACAATAGCCACCTCCACCCCAGCAATGTGCCCTCCACCGCCAGCAGCCCTGGACGTCTTTCCCCTGCTGAAACCAAACTGAGTTCTTGCTCACATGTACGTCCTGATTTTTAGAAAGTTTTGCTACAACTGGACTCTTTATAATGTGTCCTGTGTGTGTTATACTTCCACCTCCCCCTCCTCCTTCTCCAAAACATATCTGGGGAAAGCATTAATGTCCATGAAGGCATTATTATATAGATGGTGCGGTAGGTGGAAAAGTGCAAAAGAGATAAATGTTTACACAAAATCAAATTGATTTAGGGAAACACGGGCTGTGCTGAAAGGCTTTATTCATTTTAAATTAGGACCCTTTATGGTGATCTGGATGGAAAACACGCAGTGTGGACTCTGTGCTCGTCTGAGGGCTGAGTTTGGAGCCCACGCAGCCCTTTGCGTAGAGTTTGGGTAGAGAGAAAGAGAAAGAGGCAGAAAGTTCTCTTACGTCATAGACTATCCTCTAAAAGAAGGCACTGCTACGGCCAAAGAGCTATGGCCAGAAACTACGACCTGGATTTTTTAATATACATATATTTGGATCTAAAAATTAATTAAAGGAAATTCTGGAGCTTTCTGACATCTCCGATTTTCTTCCCTTCCTTTTACTGATGTCTTCTGGTGCCCTCCCCTCTCCCCTCTCCAACCACCTCTGGGTATAAAACCTCTACTAACCAGACCATCCACTAGCCACAGGGTAACTTGCAGGCAACAAATGCTCCCCAAATCCCCTGGGTCTGGATCCCTGGAAGCCGGAGCTGCCTGGAGAATGTCAGTTCTCTCCAATCAGAAAGGGGAAACCGAAATGAATTACAAGATTCAGACCAAATGCGCAGATTCTCATCGGGATAGACGTTTATTTCCACCTTCTCCAAACCAGGCTGATTATACATATTATAACTACCGAGCGTGCTGTACTTGGCAAGCCCTCCAGTCTCGTTTCTTGAGAGAGTTTTATGGATGAAGAGGGATGGAGAGGGGAGGTCGAATGTGAACTCAAACCCTGAGATTTCAACTTGGTCCCCAGGTCACCGAGGCAGTCTAACGCGCCAGAAGGCGTTCCTTTACTCCACAAATACATACTAAATGCTCCCAGTTGCTAATCGGCTAGCAACTCACAGGGTAACCAAGTTACCACACATCTCCGGGCCTCAGTTTCTTCCACCGCTAAAAGAAGGGTTTAACTACATCCCCAGGGCTTCTTCCAACATTAATATTCTATGATCGCAAAGAAGAATGTGCAGATTTGAGAACCTTCCAGAAAGGGTTATGATTTATTAAAGTGCAAGGGGGTGTGGCAGGGGTAGGGGGTGGGGTTCTGAGACGCAGGTCAAACTGCTAAGACCGAAAAGGAAAAATAAATGAGAGGGGACAGCTGATTGGTGGAAAATGGACCATCTGGGTTGATGCCTTGCCCAGAGCCAGTAGTACCCCAGGGCTGATGGGCAGGCTATGGGCAAGATGCCCCTCCCATCAGGATCCTTCTCTCTGGTGCTGGAGCAGGGAAGGTTCCTCAGGAATATCACAGATCAGAGCCATCTTGGTCCCTGCTTACCATCCTGTGTTGTCTGGCAGTTGAAGGGTACAGGGCCACGGGGAGAGGGAAAGATGGCTGAGTGTCAACTCTGAGCCGCATTTAATTCTTACAAACACCCCATGAGCAACAGATCAGCCTACAGCTGGGAAAAATTAAGGACCCAAGAATTTAAGAAATTTGCTAGGCTCAGAGCCTGTAACTCAAAGGCTAGGGTGCCAGCCACATACACCGGAGCTAAAGGGTTCAAATCCAGCCTGTGCTTGCCAAACAACAATGACAGCTACAACCTAAAAATAGCCAGGCATGATGGTGAACATCTGTAGTCCCAGCTACACTGGAGGCTGAGGCAAGAGAATCACTTAAGCCCAAGAGTTTGAGGTTGCTGTGAGCTATGATGCTACGGCACTCTACCGAGGGTGACAAAGTGAGACTCTGTCTCAAAAAAAGAAAAATATTAATTTGCTGAAGATCACATAGCTACAAGTGGTGGACACAAATTCTGGAGCCTGGATCTTTCTGGAAACCAGCTCTGTGTGGTGTCCTACACTTCCTGCACCAGTGATACTGTGACGATGGCTGCACAGCCCTGTGAAGATCCTGAAGACCATGGCATTGGTGAAACTTTCAATAAAGCTGCTTTCAAAACAAACTTCAGAATGGTCTAAAAAAGGCACAAAGTAAAGGATTCTGGCTTCTTGAAGAAATTAGTATCTCAAGAGGAAAATGTGAAGTCAAAGATAGTTACAGGGAAGTAAATGCTTAAGACTAAAAACTGCAGCTGAATTCACTTATTTACTCATTGATCAACACATAGTAAGGGTGTCCTATATGCTAAGGAGGCTCAGGCCCAGTGGCAAAGTCCTTGACATCATGGAACACTCAGCAAACCATTCAAATACGCTTCCCTAGATTCTAAGATGAGCCTGGAGCTGCCCGAATCTGGTATGAGTAAGATTCCAATGAGTTACTTAGTACCCATGAAATCTCCCTTCCAATCTTTAGGATACCAGAATAGTCTAGACTGTTCAAGAATACAGTAAAAGCTCCTACGTGGCTTAGACATTTCTTATGCCCATCCCAAAGAGGAACTGAGTTATAAACTAGATGCACAAATCAGGTTCAGAGTTAAGTTAAAACACAGGAAAAGGGCAACTACATAATATTCTTGCCAGACTCGGGAATTACAACCAATGGTCTCTCACCAAACCCAGCCCACTATTTTTCCAGATTTATGGCAGAAGGCATTTCACTTGCCTTCAATTTGAAATCCAAGATCTATTCCCTTCTTAAAAATTTTAATATAAAAAAAGTCTTTAGACAGGCACTGGGGAAGGGACCAAAGCTGCTTTTAAGAAAAAGACGTAGATGGAGACATATGTTGAAGAGATGTGAGCTCAGTGCTAGTGGTGGATGCCATTATACAAAGCCTTACTCTGTGCAAAATAATACGTAAAATACCTTTCACTTTGAATCTTAGCTCCTTGTTCCCTTAAAAAACACACACAAAACAACAACTAATTCTGGAAACAACTCCTGACATGACAAGGCCACACGTGGCCAGGTTTTATATACCACA